GGTCACAAGACCAGTCAAGCAAAGCAAAGCAAGCTCAGGGTGGATCACAAAGTCACCACACAGTCCGAGCACAAGAGCAGGGCCAGAGGCCAGTTCACATGCAGGAGTACAGACATATATATATAAAACTAGACAAGCAGGAGCAGGTATATATATGTCACAGTACAAGTAAAGTCAAGAAGAGAGCAAGTGAGGCAAGACAGGCACAAGACCCAGCTGGGTGCAGAAGCGCTGATGGTCACAAGGCGCGAGTGCCTTGGTGAACACATCAGCAGTGTTGGCCTCAGAGGCCACGTACGCAAGTCGCAACTGACCACGCTGCTGCAGCTCACGAGCAAGGAAGTAACGGAGAGCAATGTGCTTCGTTCTGTGCTCCAAGCGCTGCTCTCGACACAAGGCCAGCATGGCCTTGTTGTCTACGTACAGCACTGGAGGAGAACGAGGCGGCTCTCCAAGGTCAGTCAGCAGGTAGGTGAGCCAGCGAAGCTCCTGTGCAGCCATGGCCCCGGCGTAGATCTCAGCCTCACAACTGGAGCTGAGAACCGAAGACGAACGAGTAGACCGCCAAGAGACAGAGCCGGAACCAAGACTGAAGGTGTAACCCTGTGACGACCGCTGCGTAGCCTGGTCGTCAGCCCAATAAGCGTCCGCGTGGCCTGTAAGGACCACTGGACTCCGCCCTCCAAGAAATAGCCCCATGCCCGACGTACTGCACAGGTAGCGCAATACCCTCTTCGCTGCAGCCATGTGCTCTGGTCGGTGTCTCCCAGGAGCAACATAGCGTGCAAGAATGCTCAGAGGGTATGCAAGGTCAGGTCGAGTGCAGGTCATCAGGTACATGAGGCAGCCAACAAGCTCTGCATACGGGCCACTCGACTCTACGGACTCATCCGAAGGCAGAGCTGAGAGTGAGTGGCGAGTAGACAGAGGAGTGGCCTGAGGCGAGGAGTACGTGAAGCCGAAGCGCTGAAGGACCTGCTGCACCATGTGTGACTGAGTCAAGGTGATGGTGCGGCGTGCTCTGTCCCGAGTGATCTGCAAGCCAAGGTAGCTGCGCAGTTCACCCAGGTCTGTGCACGTGTGTCTCTTCAGTAGCTCGGACTTCACGTAGGCGAGTCGTGCAGTGTCCGCTGTGGCAAAGACCAAGTCGTCGACGTACACGAGGATGTAGAACGGCGGCAGTGAAGTGTCGGTGCGCAGAAACAGCGACGGGTGAGCAGTAGACGGAGCAAACCCAAGAGCTGCAAGCGTAGTCCTCAGTGTGTCGTGCCACTCACGCGGTGCCTGGCGGAGACCGTAGACTGGCCGTCGGAGGCTCCACTGGGTGCCAGGAGGGAAATTCCCAGTGAAGCCAGGTGGACGGCGCAGCCAGATCTCCTCGTGCAGGCTACCCTGCAGGAACGCAGTGCTGAAGTCGAGAGAGTGAAGCTCGTAGTCACGCTGAGCGGCTATGTGCAGCAGCACCCGAAGAGTGGTCATCTTCGGGGTGGGAGAGAAGGTCTGAAAGTAGTCAACTCCCTGCCGCTGACTGAAGCCACGAGCAACGTACCGCGCCTTGAAGACAGGTGGAGAGCCCGGCGGCCGCTTCACCCTGAAGATCCACATGCCACTGACGATGTTCGCCCCAGGAGGGGGAACCGCGTCAACGTAGGTGCCTGTGGACTTCCAGGAAGCCATCTCTGCATCCATAGCTGCCTGCCACTGAGAGGAGTAGGGACCCTCTACGGCCTCCGCGTAAGAACGTGGAGTCGGGATGTCAAGTGCATCCGGGTCTCCCTCAGGGGCAAGCAGTACAGACGCGAGATGAGGTGAAGCAGCCGCTAGACACTGGAACTCCTCCTGCCTGTCCTCTAGGACGTCCGTGCCAAGAGCACACTCACCCCCGACGGACGGAGGACAGACAGACGCAGACTCAGCAACAAGACTAGCAGCGTAGTCAAGACGACAGCGAGCAGCAAAGTCGACGAGCTCAGCGACTAGAGCAGACGCAGCAGTGGACTCAAAAGAGGGGTCAGTGACGACAGTAGCAAGCAGACGCGTGACAGTAGGACTGGCAGCACGAAGAGAGTCCGACTCAGGGTTGGCAAGCGCTGGAAGAGAGGACTCAAGAGGAGAAGGCAAAGGGGCACGCAGAGGAGCAGTGGACGGACGCAAAGACATCCGGTGCGTGCCAGGGACAGGAGGAGGACGCTGACGCGAACTGCGACCACTAGCGCGAGCAGCACGAACAGGCGACGCGGGACGAGACGCAGGCTCACGACGCTCAGCAAGACCTCCAGTAGGACCAGTGTAAGGAGAGGGAGCGGGCAGTGGAGAGGAAGGCTCCAGCAGGGACTGCGACTGGACAGGAGGTGGACCCTCTACTGGAGGTGAAAGACCAAGAACCTGCTGCAGGAGCGGAACGAAGTACGGCCGAGGCCGCGCGGCAGCTCCAGACTCAGCAGGGACAGCACCAGCACCCTCAGCGACAGCACCAGCGCCACCCACACCTCCAGCGGTAGGACCAACAGCAGTAGGCCCAGCACCAACGCCCTCAGCAGCTCCAGCTCCAGGAGGACCCGCAGGTCCAGCAGCTCCGGGACCGGCAGCACCCGCACCCTCGACGGTCGAAGAAGCTCCAGCTCCAGCTCCAGCAGCACCTCCAGACTCAGCAGCACGCCTCCAGCGGCGAGCGAACCACTCGCGCAGCTCCTGTGGAGAGAGGGGCTCCCGGCGAGACGCAGCAGCAGGAGAAACCCCAGGCTCAGCAGCTCCAGACGCAGCACCCCCAGGCTCAGCAGCTCCCGACCCAGCACCCCCAGACCCAGCACCTCCAGGCACAGCACCCCCCGGCTCAGCACCCCCAGGCTCCGCACCCTCCGCAGTAGCACCCCCAGGCCCAGCACCCCCAGCAGTAGCACCCCAAGGCTCAGCACCCCCGCGCACAGCACCCCCAGAGTCAGCACCCCCAGGCTCAGCACCCGCAGCAGCACCAGAGTCACTAGTAACCTCGACCGGGTCAACGGCGTCTACCTGGGACACACCTGAGGGGGCAGGAACCTGAGGGGGGAGGGGGTCTACCGGGGGGGGAACCGGCACAAGGAAGTCCGGGGGAGGGGGGAGGGAAGGAGTGCGGTAGGGGAAGAGACGGTAGAAGGGGACTGACTCGTCGAACGTGACGTCCTGGGAGGACAGAACACGACGAGAGGAGGGGTGGTAAAACTGCCACCCTGGGGCGTCAGTGGGGAAGCCAAGGAAGACACAGGGAGCAGCACGAGGGGATAGCTTGTCCGCAGACAAGTCGCGGACAAACGCCCGAGATCCCCAGACACGGAACACAGACGCATCGCCAACCTTCCCCGTCCACAGCAAGGCCGGGGACATCGCAGGCCGAGAGACCCGGGGGTGAAGGTTGAGCTGATGCGTCGCGTACCTCACCGCAAACGGCCACAGAAAATGGGGGGCAGCTGCATGCATCATGGACGTACGAGCGACATCCATGACAATGCCAATGCGGCGCTCAGCAATCCCATTTTGCTGTGGTGAGTCCGGAAGCGTGAAGGTCTGGCGGATCCCCCGTGCACGACAGTAGTCTCGCAGAAGGCGAGAAGAGAACTCTCCGCCTCTGTCCGAGTGCAGACGCAGAACAGGAAAGTCCGAGCCGAAGCTCTTCCTGAGCTGGAGACGAGCCTCGCGGATCCAGTCGATCAGCACCTCAGTGACCGCACCCTTGCTGCGCAAGGGGAGGACTGTGGTGTAACGCGAGTAGTCGTCAACCACCAACAGGAAGTAGCGCTCGTGACCCTGCCCACGGACGGGGGCTGGGCCCCACACATCCATGTGAAGCGTCTGCAGGGGAGCCTCTGTCGGGGGGAAGTGGGAGGAGTGAGGAGTAGCCCGGAGGCGACCCTCGACACAGGGGACACAGGAAGGTCCTGGCCCGGAGGGGAGAGGAGGGAGAGACTGGGGAAGACCAGAGACAAGGACACGGGAAGCCATGCTCCGAAGACGGGGCAAGGAGGGGTGGCCAAGACGGTGGTGCCACAGGAGAGTCTCGTGAGATAGGAGGCGACAAGAACAGGGGGCAGACTCAGGACCTGACCGGGACGCAGCAGCAAGCACCTGACCTGACGCAGCCACCTGACCAGACGCAGGGACAGGAGGGGACTCAACGGTCAGGGTGTAGAGACTCGACCCCGGTTGACGCAAGAACGTGGCCAGGTGTCGGCCTGTGTGTGCCTCCGTGCAGTGGGTCACCCGCTGACTCGTAGGAGTGAACTGGTGAACCCCCACATCCTGCAGGTCCGGCTCCGCTCACCAAGTTCGTAGAGAACGAGGGAAGGTACAGACCAGACAGGGTGCCCGAAGGGGCAGCCGGACACGGGAGGACAGTGGAGAAGTGAGACAGGACAGGACCCCCAGAGGGGTCAGCAAGGGAGACCGCAACCGGCCGGCCGAGCGGCGTAAGGGTAGTGCGGTCTCGAAAGAAGGAGCGAGAAGCCCCGGAGTCAAGTGTGAAAGTGAGGGAGGACGAGGACGACGCAGTACCTGAGAGCGCAGTCTCACCAGTACCTGAGAGCACAGACGCACTGGCACCTAGAGCAGCAGCCTCACAAGCACCTAGCGCAGCAATACCAATGCCCGGGTCGGGCTGGAAACACCGGTAACCCTCATTCTCCCCACTATAATCCACAGCATACATAGCAGCAAGGATAGCATCAAAATCAAGATCAAAGATCGCTACACCAGCCCTAAGAAGCTCATCCCAGCGAGGGATCTCACTAGCCCCAGGGAACTGCTGACGCCAAGCGTCCGTCAGGCGGCCAAAGCAGCGCTGGGTGGCGTGGGCACCCCCACACTGCTCACCCGCGCGGTCGCCGGAACGAAGAACGTAGGTGCAGGGACCAGTACCCCCACCCCTCTGACGCCCAGCGTACCACTCACGAAGCTGCTGAGGCGGAGGGATGTCCCGCGAGCGCTGCTGCTGCTGCCGCTGCGAGCGCTGGGCACCACCACCGCCGCTACGCTGCTGGGTACCACCCCGACCAGCTCCACCTCCTCCACCACTACCGCCTCCTCCGCTGCCGCCTCCACCGCCTCCACCTCCGCCGCCTCCACCTCCGCCGCTGCCTCCACCACCACCGCTGACACCACCACCACCGTCTCCGCCGCTGCTGCCACCACCACCACCACCCCCGCCACTAGTCCCGCCGCCACCCCCACTCCCTCCGCCGCCACCGCCGCCACCGCCACCGCCCCCTCCAGCTCCACCCGCGCCCTTGCCCCCCTTGCCCTTGCTGGAGCGACGTCTCCCACTAGGGGCAGACGCCGCGCCGACCGACTCAAGACCAAGCAGGTCGGCAGCAGCAGCAGAGGCAACAGAGGGCAGCAAGGGGGAAGGAGAGCACCCCTCAAAGATGGGGGTGCGAGGGTCACCAGGAGAAGCACCTACAGCGACTATGCTCTTCTCCGCTGCGAGGAGGGCCTTCTCGAGGAGGTCGACGGTGAGGGTGGTGGGACAGACTGCGAGAAAGTGGTCCCTGACGACGCGAAGGGAGTCAGGGAGGCGCGCGACTACGTAGTAGAGAGCGATGTACATGGGGGGTGGGTTCTTAGCGCAGAACTCAGCAGGAAGGGCGGCGCGGTAGCGAGTGTCACTAGTGCGGAGGTGCGTAATGAGGTCAGCAACAGTGGGAAAGGCAGAGAGGTCAGGAAAGAGGTAGGGAAGCATGAGACGGCTCAGTGCAGCAGTGGCAGGGGAGGAGTAGCGCGCAACTACAGCGTCGTACAAGGTCTGAGCACTCTTGTACTGGCTAAAGTGCGCACGCTCAGAGGTAGGGAGGTGGCGACGCACAGCAAGACGTGCAGCAGCATCGCGGGTGGCCCACTGAGAGCGGACAGTGGGATCAGCATCAGCAGCAGGAGCAGGAGAGGTGCCAGAGGTGAGGTCAAAGAGAGAAAGGTCGTCAGCTCTGTCGCACTGTAAGAACAGCTGCAGGTCGTCTAACCAGACCTCAAAATCAATGGCGCGACCCTCAGCGTCAAAAGCTAGGACACTAGGGGTAGCCATGGCGACGACAGGGGCGCAGTGCAAGCAGTAGGGAAAGAGCTCGCAGTGACAGTGGGACTGTGCTCACCAGGCAGGGCAGGTCGTGCAGCTCTGCAGAAAGGCGGCTCAGGTGCACAGCGGCTCGGCTCCCGGGCGGCTCGGCGGCAGGGCGGCTCGGGTGCAGGGCGGCTCGGCTCCCGGGCGGCTCGGCGGCAGGGCGGCTCGGGTGCAGGGCGGCTCGGGTCCCGGGCGGCTCGGCGACTGGGCGGCTTGGGTGTTGGGCGGCTCGGCTCCCGGGTGGTTCGGCTGCACTGCTGCCCGACTGCTGCAGGTGTGGCGGCAGGGCCGCGTGAGAGAGCCGGGGCGGGGACGCGTGAGGGCCGGCGGCGGGGCCGCGTGAGAGCCGGGGCGGGGCCGCTTCAGAGTCGGCGGCGAGGCCGCAAGAGAGTCGGGGCGGGGCCGCTTCAGAGCCGGCGGCGGGGCCGCAAAAGAGCCGGCGGCGGGGCCGCTTGAGAGCCGAGGCAGGGGCCGCGTCAGGGCCGGCGACGGGGCCGTAAGAGAGCCGGCGGCAGGGCCTGGAGAGAGCCGACGGCGGGGCCACGTGAGAGCCGGGGTGGGGCCGCAAGAGAGCCGGCGGCAGGGCCGCGTAAGAGCCGGGACAGGGCCGCGAGAGAGCCGTCAGCGGAGCCGCGTGAAAGCCGGGGCGGGGCCGTGCGAGAGTAGGCGGCGAAGCCGCGTAAGAGCCTGGGCGGGTCCGCGACAGAGCCGTCGGCGGGGCCGCGTGAAGGCCGGGGCGGGGCCGCGTAGGAGCCGGGGCGGGGCCGCGTGAGAGCAGGCAGCGGGGCCGCGTAAAGGCCGGGGCGGGGCCGCGACAGAGTCGGCGGCGGGGCCGCGTAAGGGAGGGCGGCGGGGCCGCGTCAGTGGAGGCGGCTGAGCCGCAGGGGAAAAGGCGACCCGAGGGGTCGCTAAAAAAAAATCGCGCCTCGGGGCGCGCTTCGGTGGGCCAAAAAAAAAACGGTCCTTAGAAGGACCCGCTCTATACCATGTGAGAATAAACGAACAGGAATGGAATGACTAAGTCAGGGTTGGGTACAAATACAACCCTAGAAAGCTGTACCCCATATGTGCTACCCCACTATAGCCTACAAACATGCATCAGCTATAATAATCTGACAGAGGTTTGACCAAAAGAGGGGTTTGCAATATGAGAGAGTTACAAGATATAGAGAGGAAAGGTGGACAAAGGGGGGTATACCACCAAGACCCTACACTACTGCAATTATCTAAGAATACACTATATTTCAACAATTAAACACTTCAAGCTGAAATTTATGCACTTTGTATTTTATAGTTAATGTAACAACAACAAACATTATACCGAAATCTTTACCCTGCCATAAACAGAGTATGTAATTTTTTGCACTGAATTTGTCCGGCTAATTTTTTTTTTTACCCTACCATCAGGGTAGGCCTGGCTCGACGCCTGGATTTCCGAGGGTGGCCAAAAACCAATTTTGGGCCCTGCTTTAGAGTCTAGAAAAATGCCTGGTATAAGCATAGTTCTACGGCTTCTTGATACGCCCACAAACATGTATGCCGGCTGTTAGCTGTTGGCGGGTGAGTCATGTCACATCAAACATCGTCAACAACGCCTTTATTCTCCAGTGTGCATAGTGTGAAAACTGAACGAGAATGAGAGCACTATGAAATGAAGTGAGAACAAATATGAAACCCTAATTGGGTTGTACCCCCTATGGGATACCCCACTATAGCCTACAGAAAAGAGTAAGCTATAATGTTCTGACACATCCCCATAGGCAAAGTGGGGGAGAACAAGGGGTCACAAGACCACTCAAGTAAAGCAAAGCAAAGCTCAGGGTGGATCACAAAGTCACCACACATTCCGAGCACAAGTTCAAGGGCCACAAGGCCAGTTCACACGCAAGATCATATATAAAGATATACAAGAGTCAAGCAAGTAAGAGCAAGAGTATATATAGGTGAAGGTACAAGCAAGGTCAAGAAGTGAGCAAGTGAGGCAAGACAGGCACAAGACCCAGCTGCATGCAACAACGCTGATGATCACAAGGCGCAAGTGCCTTGGTGAAGACATCAGCAGTGTTGGCCTCAAAGGCCACGTACGCAAGTCGTAACTGTCCACGCTGCTGTAGCTCACGAGCAAGAAAGTAGCGGAGAGCAATGTGCTTTGTCCTATGCTCCAATCGCTGCTCTCGACACAAGGCCAGCATGGCCTTGTTGTCTACGTGCAGGACTGGAGGAGAACGAGGCGGCTCTCCAAGGTCGGATAGCAGGTAGGTGAGCCAGCGTAACACCTGTGCAGCCATAGCCCAGGCGTAGATCTCAGCCTCACAACTGGAGCCGAGAACAGAAGACGAGCGAGTAGCCCGCCACGAAACAGAGCCGGAACCAAGGCTGAAGGTGTAACCCTGCGACGACCGCTGCGTAGCCTGGTCGTCAGCCCAAGAAGCGTCCGCGTGCCCAGTGAGGACCACTGGACTGCGCCCTCCAAGCACTAGCCCCATGCCCGACGTACTGCACAAGTAGCGCAACACCCTCTTCGCTGCAGCCATGTGCTCTGGTCGGTGTCTCCCAGGAGCAACATAGCGTGCGAGAATGCTAAGAGGGTATGCAAGGTCAGGTCGTGTGCAGGTCATTAGGTACATGAGGCAGCCAACAAGCTCTGGATACGGGCCACTCGACTCTACGGTCTCATCCGAAGGCAGAGCTGAGAGCGAGTGGCGAGTAGGCAGAGGAGTGGCCTGAGGCGAGGAGTACGTGAAGCCGAAGCGCTGAAGGACCTGCTGCACCATGTGTGACTGAGTCAGGGTAATGGTGCGGCGTGCTCTGTCCCGGGTGATCTGCAAGCCAAGGTAGCTGCGCAGTTCACCCAGGTCAGTGCACGTGTGTCTCTTCTACAGCTCGGACTTCACGTAGGCGAGTCCAGCAGTGTCAGCTGTGGCAAACACCAAGTCGTCGACGTACACGAGGATGTAGAACGGCGGCAGAGAGGTGTCGGTGCGAAGAAACAGCGACGGGTCGGCAGTAGAAGGAGCAAACCCAAGTGCCGCCAGCGTAGTCCTCAGTGTGTCGTGCCACTCACGTGGCGCCTGGCGGAGACCGTAGACTGGACGCCGGAGACTCCACTGGGTACCAGGAGGGAAAGACCCAGTGAAGCCAGGTGGGCGACGCAGCCGGATCTCCTCGTGCAGGTTGCCCTGCAAGAAAGCTGTGCTGAAGTCGAGAGAGTGCAGCTCGTAGTCACGGTGAGCAGCAACGTGCAGCAGTACCCGAAGAGTGGTCATCTTCGGGGTGGGGGAGAAGGTCTGAAAGTAGTCAACCCCCTTCCGCTGACTGAAGCCACGAGCCACGTAACGCGCCTTGAAGACAGGCGGAGAACCCGGTGGCCGCTTCACCCTGAAGATCCACATGCCACTGACGATGTTCGCCCCAGGAGGGGGAACAGCGTCAACGTAGGTGCCTGTGGACTTCCAGGAAGCCATCTCTGCATCCATAGCTGCCTACCACTGAGAGGAGTAGGGACCCTCTATCGCCTCCGCGTAAGAGCGCGGAGTCGGGATGTCAAGTGCATTCGGGTCTCCCTCAGGGGCTAGCAGTACAAACGCGAGATGAGGTGAAGCGGCGGCCAGACACTGGAACTCCTCCTGCGTGTCCTCAATGACGTCCGTGCCAAGGGCACACTCACCCCCGACGGACGGAGGACAGGCAGACTCAGACTCAGCGACAAGACTCGCAGCGTAGTCTAAGCGACAGCGCGCAGCAAAGTCGACGAGCTCAGTGACAAGGGCAGACGCAGCAGAAGACTCGAAAGAAGGGTCAGTGACAGCAGTAGGAAGGAGACGCGTGACAGTAGGACTGGCAGCACGAAGAGAGTCCGACTCCGGGTCGGCAAGAGCAGGAAGAGAGGAAGCAGGAGGAGAAGGCAAAGGGGCACGCAGAGGAGCAGCGGACGGACGCAGAGACATCCGGTGCGTGCTAGGGACAGGAGGAGGACGCTGACGAGAACCGCGACCACTAGTGCGCGCAGTACGAACAGGCGACGCAGGACGAGACGCAGGCTCACGACGCTCAGTAAGACCTCCAGTCGGACCAGCGTAGGGAGAAGGAGCAGGCAAAGGGGAGGCAGGCTGTAGCTGGGACTGTGACGAGACAGGCTGTGGACCCTCTAAGGGAGGAGGAGGAGGACCAGGAGAAGGTGTAAGACCAAGAACCTGCTGCAGGAGCGGAACGAAGTACGGTGGGGGCCGCGTGGCTACGCCAGAAACAGCAGGGACAGCACCAGTACCCCCAGTAGGAGTACCCGATCCAGCTGCACCTCCAGCAGCACCTCCAGTAGCTCCAGAACCTCCAGCAGCACCACCAGGAGCACGGCCAGTCGGACCGCCAGCGGTACTCTCAGCGCCAACACCCTCAGCGGCACCAGCTCTAGGAGAACCCTCAGACCCAGCAGCTCCAGCACCCACAGTACGTGCACCTCCGGGACGCTCAGCAGCAGCACCCTCTGCAGCCGAAGAACCTCCAGCACCAGCAGCACGCCTCCAGCGTCGGGCAAACCACTCACGCAGCTCCTGAGGAGAGAGTGGCTCTCGGCGAGACGAAGTACCTCCAGGCGGAGCACCCCCAGTCTCAGCACCCCTAGTCTCAGCACCCCCAGGCTCAGCACCCCCAGGCTCAGCACCCCCAGGCCCAGCACCCCCAGGCTCAGCACCCCCAGGCTCAGCACCCCCAGGCTCAGCACCCCCAGACTCCGCACCCCCAGGCTCAGCACCCCCAAGTGTAGCACCTCCAGGCTCAGCACCCGCAGCAGCACCAGAGTCACCAGTGACCTCGACAGGCTCGACCGCGTCTACCTGGGACACACCTGAAGGGGCAGGACCCTGAGGGGGGAGGGGGTCTACCGGGGGGGGACCTGGTACCAAGAAGAGCGGGGGCGGGGGGAGGGACGGAGTGCGGTAGGGGAAGAGGCGGTAGTAGGGTACCGA